AGTTGATACTCTCCTTCATTTGGAGGAGTGGGTAAGAGTAAACCAAGTCCAACAAGCTGGTTCACTCTTTCCAATTATGTATGCTTCCCCTGGCAGCTTCTGAAAGGTCACCAGACCTAGGAAGTAACCCAAGGAAGACCTCAAGAAGAGATTCTAATAAGAAGAGAAGGAGCTTGCCCATTACAGAATGGAGATGTGTGTGTGTATGTGTACTGGTGAGTGAGAGGAGAGAGCATAATCAAGGACCAACACTGTCGCTCAGAATCTACCCCTTGCACTGCTGTTCTTGGAGCTCACTCCTTGACCAAAACTCAAAAGGAAAAGATTATGATGACATTCACATAGTCACCTCCTCCCAGCATTCTGCATCCTAAGTGTGTGCATACTTCCAACAGCAGACAGACACAGCTGTCAGGGAGAACCGTGTGTTGTCAATACAGAAGAGGGACCAAGGTATCCCATCACCCTGCATTTTTTACTACTGAACTCACCTAAACCTTCTTAAGTTAAACAGAATTTCCGGTTGGGACCAAATTCTTACAGTGTTAGCTTACCTAAGAATTTGTAGCTATGCTTCAGTTAATACATAGATTTCTTATACTTTTCATGGTTAATGATAGTAGCACTTATATTTTCCTCTTAATTTTATAAAATAGTCCAGGAAAAATACAGATGTGGCATAGTATATTTATCAAAAGGACTGGCTCAGAAGCTGGAATGCCTGAGTTCAAACTCAACTTTGCCGTTAGATAATTTATTACCTTCTCTATGCCTCAGTTTTCTCAACTATAAAGTGGCAATAGTTGTACTTGTTTTACAGGTTGCTATGAGAATTAATGAGTTAATGTTTATATAGTTCTAAGAATAGTACCTGCCATGTTGTAAGTACCAATTTTTATATACATATTTTTAAAATTATTTTAAAAATTATACATACATTCTTATAAACACAACACCATTCTGTAATTGTTGGTTTAAGAGTGTCAGTAATACTAATAAAGATAACAGTTAACTGAACACTTTCTATGCACCAGGCATTATATGTACTCTTTTCATTCTGTCTTCACCACCATCCTATGACTACCATCACAAGCATTAGTACCTCACCAATAAGGAAATGGAGATTGAGAATTCAGATTTCTCCTAGGAGAGCCCTGCAGACTGATTACAATTCATGTACCCTGAACACACACACACATACACACACACACACACACACACACACACACACAACTGAACTAAAGTCAAAGACCTTTGTTTTTCTATTATAAAGTGCATAAAATTAAAATACTCCCATAACTATTAATTACTTACTAGTCTGTTTAATGAGTTGTAGGCAGAAAGCGTTTTCACCCCTGCAAACAATTCTGCATGAATATCATACCCTTCCAGCAGAATCAAAGGTGTTTACAACACATCTTGCTGTCTGTTCTGATGGACACTAGATGGCGATCCCAACCAACCAAAGCTCATTTTGGCGGCTGGCATGTTACAGTCTCTCCAGGCCCTTATGTAATTTTTAACCTTTAGTTATAACTTAACACTTTTCTGTTTCTTTTGGTGAACAGAAATTTTTATTCCCGTTTGACAGATGGTGATCCTGACACCACTGTGAAGCCCTGAGACTTCAGCAAGGTCAAGGGAGGAACAAATTAAGTGGCTTGGACTGACAGTTGTCTAAGTAGTCCAGAAATATCATGCTGGATAATTATTTCATTCCACAAAAAATTAATTTGCACCTTCGATAATCCCCTCTGCGTTTAGGGAATAAGGAAGTAAATAAGACAGGATCTACCTTTATGGTGGAATTTGGAGGATGGGGACCTAGAAAAAGATATGGAATAATGGCTGTGGAAAAGGTCGGAGTGGACATGAAAAGGAGGAAACAGTCGACTTTCCCCAGGCGTGGAGGTCAGCCATAGTCTTACAAAGGCAACTTTTAAAATACTAAATTACTTTTCTTTCCTTTCTTAAAGTAAAAATGACCACAGTGAGGAGGAAGATGACGGAAGAAAACACTATTGTGCGAAGATAACAACACTGGTACTATCTTGGTTAAGGTAGATCAATTATGACGATGGTGATAGTAATAGCAAATTTATTACACACTATGTGCTAATAAGGATAAAAAGATTTAAAGGGTTTGTGACTTTGCAATGTGTCTAAGATCAACCCAGCACCTTCATTGTAACACACACGCTCCAAACAAAGCCCCAAGAAGTAGACTGCACTGAAGTGTAGGTTGTGTAAAATTCCAGTTAACAATTTAATAAATGGGTTTGTTTTGGCTTCAACCCTTCACTGCCCAAAGGCATTTACAATGTAGGATGTCGTTGGCACCAATAGGCACTAGATGGCACTCCAAATTAACACTGTCCTTGGTGGACAGCTGATGCTCCTTGTGGCCGGGCTGTCATCAATCATTAACTCTGGGTTAACATGTTACCCAGATTTCAAAACTCATTCATATATAGTCTTTTGATGGACAGAAATGATAATTACCTACAGTTGACAGTGACAGTATTGAGAAGCCGTGAGACTGGAGTAAAGGCCCAGAGCAGTCAAGTACCAAGCTGGCTACCGGGACGTTTGGAGTCAATAATCTTTATAAAGAGAAATAAATTGTCAAATGGACAAGAAACCCATGGTTGATTCATTCACCTCCTCAAGCAATTCATAAGGAGGAGAAGCACAGATAACTACCCTCGAAGTGCATACAGTTTAGAGTAAGGGGGAAAGGCATGGAAAGAGAATGGACAGAAATGTTTTACATCTGGCAGTATAGTGCGGAGTAGAGACTAAAGGAGGATATGGCCAATTTTACCAAATCACGGGGGTAGAAAGAGTCTTGTGCAGAAGCCACTTCAACTGTGTCTTAAATGTGAGTAGCAAATTAGGCATAAGAACCCCAAAGACCTAAAGAGACAGCATATGTTTTATCTTTTTAAATTATTATTATTTTGATAGTGAGATAACCACAATACAGGCAATCTGTAAGAGGATACTGACCTATCACCTGGTAGGGAGCAGCATCCTCAGATAAAAAATGTCATTGATAATATTAGTATGATATTAGAATATGTACTACTAATAAACATGGTTTAGCCTTGTTTATTTGCCAGGCACTTGTTGAGGGCTTCATTTATCAATTTTTATTCTTTTTCACTTAATTCTAAAAATCATTTTATGAAGTAGCTGTTATTATCACCTCTTTACAAATGAGAAAGTTGAGACGGAGAGTTTCAGTGGCTTTGCAGTATAACTTTCCCTTGAAGATTGATTATAATTCATGTGCCTTTAAAGCACACATATATACTCATCAGAAATGAGATACAATAGGGTAGTTTACAAAAACTCTGATTATACTAAAGTGAGCGAGAGTAGACTTTGTTGTTCTTCTCATCGGTAATGAAAAATATATATATGACAGTTTTCATTAGAAGATATTAAATATCGAGGACGTTTTCTCCCTTAAAATTTCTAAGGCTCTTGGAAGAGCTGAAAGATAACAATTGACAAAAATAGTCATCGCAATGGTCCCAAACTCTTCCCAAATGAAAGACATTTATACCATGGTCTCTCGTTAGTTCTGATGGCACTCTAAACAAAAACGTACAACATACAGTTTATTCCTAATCTGCCAGTCTGTAATTATTACCTTCTAGGGGTGTCCATATCTGTTAACAGCTGCAAGAGGTCATTCACATAGAGTATCATTTGGTGATCAGAAATTATTATCCCCATTTCACAGATGAGCAAACTGAGGTTCAGAGAAACTGGAGTAAGGCCATAGTACCGTTAAATCTTTCCCTTTTTGTAGCTCTTTGGAGCTCTCCTCTGCTTGCTAGATGGTATGCTGCCTGGCTCGTGAATCATTCAATAAAGCCAATTCAATCTTTAAAATTTACTTTGCTGAATTATGTTTTTTAGCAGCAGCTTAGTGACTGGGTAAGGGGAGAAGAAGGGAGGATGGTGGAATTTGGAGATGATGACTAAACGGTACTAAAATGTTTCATTGTGGAGGGGATGACAAATGTTCTAAAATTGATTGTGGTATGGTTGCTCACCTTTATGAATATACTAAAGCCGTGGAATTTTATACTTTAAATGGGTGAATTGTATGTACGTGAATTATATCTCCATAAAGCTGTTACCAATAAAAAAAAAGTAATTGTACAATCAACCCCCATGTGCTCATCAGCAATAGTCAACATTTTCCCCACCCGATTTCATATCCCCACACAATTAAGAGGCCTTAATTTCCAACTCTGATTTTTTCTGAGATGGCCAAAATTTGCATACATGCTTTAAAAGGTATCACTTATTATATTTATTAGGCACTTAAAGGTTTCAGGAAAATCAGATACTAATATCCTTTTGAAATTTCTCAGACAGTAGTTCTCAAACTTTGTTGTGTGTGTTGGGAGGAAGAGGGGTATTTAAAATCTCGTTGCTCTGGTGGCACCATACAGCAATTAAATCAGAGTGTCTGGGGGCTATAGCAGGGCATCAATAGGTTTAACGATTCTCCGGGTGATTCCAATGTGCAGTAGTTTGTGAAATATAATTTAACTACATAAATTGTGAAAGATGTTTCGGTACATAGGATCTAATCTGTTAATCTTATGATTTAACTAGTTCTGATCAAAGAATAAAATAAAATTTTTATGCAAAATCATCAGGATTGGAAAGTTGAACTTAAAAATTTTTTTAATGTATAATTAAATTTTCAAGTTATTCAATATTTAAATATTTAGATCAGAAAATCGTTAAATATACTTTCCGCAGTCAGCAACATTCTCTCTGGGTTTAAAAACCAGAAGGACAGCTGGGTCACCGAGTGTTTCCCAAGCAGGTACTCTGGATTGCAGGAGAGTTCAAGTGCAGGAGACCCATTTCTTTTCGCCAGTGGCCCCGGAAAAGGATCCCACTGGCCAGGAAGTTTCATCTGGGATCCCCGGAGCCTCGGCAATGGCTCCAGGGTGACTTCTTGGGCCACCCCCGTTTCCCCGCCCTACCCAAGCGGCTGAAAAGCGCCAGGACGGACGGTCGGAGCCGGCGAAATGGGCCCGCGAGCCCGGCCGGCGCTTCTCCTCCTGATTCTCCTGCGGACGGTGGCCACGCAGGGGCGACCGCCGCGTGAGTCCGGGGGCTGCAGGCCAGAGAGTGGAGCGGGGGGTGGGGGGAGGAAAAATCGAAACTAGCTTTTCTTAGCGATTGGGAGTTCGCTAAGCTCGGAACGACTGCTCAGCCCTGTGCGCGGTCCCCTCCCCCAACTTTCCCCGGAGGGGACGTGGGTCACTGGGGTGCAAATGGGGTTACGGGGCCTCTCGCCCCAAGACCTCCACGCCCACCCCCGGCCCGCTCGCTGTCCCTGCTGCTATGGAGTTACACTTGGAACCACCCACTCCCTCCTCCGAGCGTGACGTTTCTAGATATAAACCTTTTCTCCTCGAGGCCAAGCTCGGATTAGGGGTCCTTTGACTCGGATCTCGGTATTCTTGTTTCTGCTGGTGGTTGTGTCGTTTTACCCCCGATCATCCCCAAACAGGAAGTTCTTTTCACTAAGGGCGACCTCGGCCGGAGCGCCCTCTCGGTGTTTCCTTACCTGGGCGCTCTAAGGTTTGGGAGACTTTGGGACGAGCGAACGCACGGCGGACCCAGCCGAGTTTCCATTTCAGAACCACTGGCGCTGTGGGTGGGAAGTTCTTGGCAGAGGTCGGCCTAGGGACTGACTCTTGGTGATTGTTCTTTTGCCTGGAAAAATAACATATCTGCTGTTTTTGAACTTTTAAACTGAATCGCACAGTTCTCCTTTTCAGCCCGGGGTTGTTGATTTGCAGTGTTAATAGTATTGTATAATTAACCGGCCTTTACTGAAGGATGCCAACGGGATGGTAATTAACATGTAAGTAATGACCTCAGTTTTAAATCGCCTTCAGATCTGTGATCCTGTTTGACTCTACTATGCATTTGGGAGGTAGGAGCTCTTCTTATGTTGATTTTACTAGTGGTTAACGACCTCAGGTTAAATCCTTTCCCCAGGTTACAAAGAATTCAGGCAATCTGGTTTTCTGACACTAAATGAGGTACCATTGGTTCTAATCTTAGCTGACAGTGTTCGCCCTTACAGTCGTCTGGCACAGCTCTGGACGCTTCATACTTTGTCATGTAGCCTCAGAACCACACTTGGAGGGTAGGTAGTATGTATATCCACACTTTATAGATGACAAGAATGAGATAAGACTTGCTCACAGGTGGTGACTTTGTTCATTGTTACTCAGGGCTTTGGAGGCAGAGCCCGTGTCTCCGCTTCATAGCTGTGATTCTTAAAAGTCACACTGCGTTAGAGGTTGAGTCATAAAATTTGTTGGACACAAGTCTTCACTGTTCACAAGTATAGAAGGAACACCACCCATGTGTTACGCTGTTCTAGACCCAGGAGAGAGCAGGGAGCCTAGTCCTCTGGTGCTTTGCATTCAAGTAGACGGGGATGACAATACACAAAAGGATAGAGAGCATCAGGTAATAGGTGCCCTGATGGCGTGTGAAGCACAGAGATCAGGGCAGGCCACTCTCCCTGGCTGGGTTTGAACAGAGACCTGAAGGAAATAGAGGTGATGCTGCCTGGGAGTAGCGCTTCCCGGACAGGCTGTGGAGACCTGGCAAGGATTTGCAACCTCAGCACTACTGACATTTTTTTTGTTGTTGTGGCGACTGTCGTGTGCATTGTAGGATGTTTAGCAGCATCTCTGTCCTTTACTCACTGGATGTTAGTACACTCCCCAGTTGTGACAACAGAAAATGTGCCCAGACATTGCCAAATGTCCCTTAAGAGACGAAATGTCCTGGGTGAAGAAAGAGCAAGGGCACCACTGCAGCAGGAGCGCAGGGGCCGGAGGCCTAGAATAGGCAATGGGCTCAGCAGAGGAGCCGCGGGCCAGTCTCCTGGGGCCTCACAGGCTACAGTGTGGATTCCAGCCCAGCAGTGATGTGATCATGCACAGCTGTTGAAAAGATTGCTCCAGCTCCTCTGTGGAAAGCATAGTGAAGGGGGCAACGATAAAAACAGGGCAAGCAGACAGGCAGGAGTTGATGGACTGGGCCGGTGGGAGCAGAAGTGGTGGCGAGAAACGGTTGTATTCTGGATCTATTTTGAAGGAAGTTGCTGAGGGATCTATGAAGGGTCACATGACAGACAAAGTCAAAGGTGCCTCTGTTATTATTTTATTTCATTTTTATTTTATCGGCCTGAGCAACAGGGGGATAAGTGATGCCATTTCTGAGATGGTGAAGGCGGAAGAAAGAGCAGTTTGGGGGAAACCAGGAGCCTGGTTTTGGACTTGATCAAGTTTGAGATTCCAGTGAGTCATCCAACTGGTGGTATCATGTAGGCAGTTGGAGTGTATGTAAGAGTCTATAGTTCACGGCCAGAGACAAAAATCTAGAAGTCAGCATTTAGTCACCCAACAAGTGTGTATTAAGCACGTACTACATGCCAGACACTGTTCTAGACATTGCGGATACATCCCTGAACTCCCTCATTCTAGAATTGAGGGGAGGTGTAAGGAAGCTCTCACCTGCCCAGAAGTCTGTCCTCTTGGGCTTACTGCTGTTTTTTCTATATTTGCATTTGATTTGGAACAGTTTTGCTGCTGAAAAGCTGCCCTGAGCTGTTTATCAGCACATCTTCCAGCATTTGACAGCAAACATTTTCAGGCAGACCTCAGAGATATTGTGGGTTCGGTTTCAGACCACCACAATAAAGGGAATGTCACAGTAAAGCTACTCACATGAAGTTTTTGGTTTCCCAGTACATGTTCAAATTATGTTTACTACACTGTATTCTATTAAGTGTGCAATAGCATCGTCTTAAAAAAACAACATACATACCTTAATTTAAAAGTACTTTATTGCTGAGAAACGTTAACCATGTGAGCCTTCAGAGAGGCAAAATCTTTTTATAATAGTAACATCAAAGATCACTGATCACAGATCACCATAACAAATATAATAATAATGAAAAAGCTGGAAATCTTGCGAGAATTACCAAAATGTGACACAGAGACATGAAGTGAGCCAAGGCTGTTGGAAAAGTGGTGCTGATAGACTTGCTTGACGCGGGGTTGCCACAAACCTTCAATTTGTAAAAAACACATTAGCTGCAAAGTTCAGTAAAACGAAGTCTGTCTGTACACTGTAAAGCATTTAGAGATGGAAGTAGTGAAAAAAAAACAATAATTCCTCTGGACTTGGATCTAATTGGCTCTGAGCACTAACTCTCGAGCTCAACTGCCCTAGCTAGACACACCTTGGGGTTTTCTAGAGTCTGTTGGATCCAAGGGAGGCTGCTGTAATTGTGACTACTGGGGCAGAGGCTGGGGCCTGCAATGGGGTGGCAGGCACACGTGGCAGAGGGGCACAAGGGGAGAGCAGACGGGAGGGGCATGCGGAGGGAAAGCAGGCACCGCATGTCACTTTCACGGGGTGGGACCAGACACAGCTGGCACCAGTTGATTCAGAAGGCCTGCCTCCCAGTTCCCTAGGCAGCTCACAGAGAAGGCCTGTCGCCCTCTCCCCAGGGTCACACTCCCTGCGCTTCCTCTTCATGGGTGCCTCCGAGCCAGACCTTGGGCTGCCCCTGTTTGAGGCCTTGGGCTACGTGGACGACCAGCTGTTCGTGTCCTACGATCACGAGAGTCGCCGTGCAGAGCCTCGTGCCCCGTGGCTCTGGGGCAGGGCCACCAGCCAGCTGTGGCTGCAGCTGAGCCAGAACCTGAAAGGCTGGGATCACATGTTCACCGTGGATTTCTGGACCATCATGGACAACCACAACCAGAGCAAGGGTACGTGGCGAGCACGCCTCGCCTTCCCGTGGTGGGCGGAGTGTGTCCCTGCCTCAGGGATGCATCTTGAGGGAGAGAACTGGCTATTTGAGATCCGGGGGCAGGGAAGAGGGCAGGAGTTTGATTCCTGAGGTCACTGTGTCCCTGTAATGGCGAAAACAGGGGCCTGCTCCTTTGGTTTCAGTAACGAAGCTGGGAGTGCTGCCAGAGTCCCACACCCTGCAGGTGATCCTGGGCTGTGAAGTGCAAGAGGACAACAGGACCAGAGGGTTCTGGAAGTACGGGTACGATGGGCAGGACCATCTTGAATTCCGTCCTGAGACGCTGGATTGGAGAGCAGCAGAGCCCAGGGCTCGGACCACCAAGCTGGAGTGGGAAGTGAACAAGATTCGGGCCAAGCAGAACAGGGCCTACCTCGAGAGGGGCTGCCCTGAGCAGCTGCAGCACTTGCTGGAGCTGGGGAGAGGGGCCCTGGACCGGCAAGGTATGGCGGGAGCACCCTCTGCCCCTCTCCTGACGGACGGACGGGAGGGGGATGCAGGGCATGGGATCCCTGGCTGGGTTTTCAGAGATGGTCAAGGTTGTGTAACTCTCTGCGAAGGTAACGAGGTCTGAGTTTTCCACCCTGAGGTCTCCAGCTCTGAGGTCTCCACCTTACAATTGAGATGTATCATCCAGCCATGAGTCATGGTTTTCATTTTTTTTCATGCATGTAGCTAAAGAGGAAGTAACTGATTTTTTGCTTGATTTAACCAAGAACGCTATGTATATTTATAACTTTAAGGACTTTAGAGATGCCAGTTATCACATGAATACCAAGGCAAGAAATGAATACCAAGGAGGCAACCGGTCAGAGTAGCAGAATCTTGGAGGGTAAAGGTTACGTTCACAGAACATGGTAGTAGTCACATAGGCTGCCTATCTTACAAGGCCCCTTCTTACAAAAATAATTATTGGGTTGAACCAGGTGAAATTACCAGTAGTACATATTCAATCACTTTTGAGCCTCATAGGGGCAATTTCATCTGATTCAACTTAATATCTTAACAAAGAACATAAGACGTGGGCAACAGGTATGCATATTTACATGTGGGACCGGAGAACAGGCTGATACGACTGTGCCTATTCTCCATGTGACACCACATCAGAACCCAATCTTGGAACATGTGTTAGGGCACAAAATGGTGTGTCTCTCCTACAACTTGCTCTGTCTGCACAGGGAAACTCCTTCCCCCAACCCATAGAGAAAGTGAAGTGAAAGTTCTGGTCTTCCTGGCATGGGTAGGAATCCCCCCCTCCAGATCCTCCCTCATTCCTGTTCAGCGCTTCCTTTGGTGAAAGTGACTCATCACGTGGCCTCTGCAGTGACCACTCTACGGTGTCAGGCTCTGAACTTCTACCCCCAGGACATCACCATGAGGTGGTTGAAGGACAGGCAGCCACTGGATGCCAAAGACGTTGAGCCTGAGGATGTGCTGCCCAACGGGGATGGAACCTACCAGGGCTGGGTGGCTTTGGCTGTGCTCCCTGGGGAAGAGCAGAGATACAGCTGCCAGGTGCAGCATCCAGGCCTGGATCAGCCACTCACTGCCACCTGGGGTATGGATGAGAGCCAGGGGCTGAGAAAACCTGGTGTTGGTGGGATGGGAGTGGTCAACAGGGCAGTGAGGGGAGGGTTGGCTCTGGGATGGGGCAGTGATCATGGGCTTTCACTTGCTTTTGCTATTTTAGAGCCCTCACTGTCTGGCACCCTGGTCACTGGAATCATCAGTGGAATCGCTGTCTGTATCATCCTCTTCCTTACTGGAATTTTGTTCAGAATCTTGAGGAGAAGGCAGGCTTCCAGTGAGTAGGAAGAAGGGGGAAGCCTCTCAGCATCTCTGCCCCCAGGACAAACTAACGCTCCTGCAGGAAGTGGGGCAGGGGGAGGGCAAAGGGGAGTTGGCATCCACGAGAAGCCTTCTCATCTGTCTTTCTCTGGGAGCCCTGGCATCTCCCTGGGAGCAGGAATTAATGATTTCCCTCAGAATGAAAGTTCCTAATTCAACAGACATCTTTTGAACGCCTATTATTTTGCAAGGTGCTGTTTTAGGTAGTGCAGGTGCTTTGAGGTTAAGTCACCTTTGCTATCTCAGAACGCAGGTCTAGTAAGGAATGAAATCCATGACAGGTAAATGCAGTTAAAGACCCCCAAAGATCCTAAGGCAGATATGAAGCAAATGCTCTGGAGTGTCAAGGGAAGGGATGACCACGTTCATCTGGGGATCAAGAAAGGCTTCTGGATCTTGAAGAAGTAGGATTTCTTTAGGTGAGGTTGAGGACTAGGGGAAGTCAATAGATGTAGCAACTGTGCAAGTGGGAGACTGTGAGGCATGCTGGGAGGTGAGAAATTATTATCAATTTGACCCTTGACTTTACGTACTTTTCAGTCTGCATTTCTACTCCCTGAACATTGGTGGTGCAGGGGAAAGAGGGGCAGACAGAAGCCAACTCCTGTAGAGCCCTGGGGGCCTTTGGGATGTTATGTTATGAGCCCTGGAGGGGCAGCGATCAACGCAGGGACTTAAATAAGCAAGGAGGAACCCAGTCTCCTCCATATGGAGAGTGAGTTGTTAGGAGGTGAGATGGGAGACAAGGAGACCTGTTAGGAAGCTATTCAGCAATTCCAGATGAGAGATAATGGTGCCTGAAATCCAGGAGGTCCTTGGGAAGGGGGTGGTAAGAGTTGACCTGTGTGGCCGGGGAGGGGAGGAGGCAAGAGAATCGTAGGTCTGTGATGCCTCTTTCCTGGATCTTGTCTTTACAGGAGGAGCCACAGGGGACTATGTCTTAGCCGAATGTGAATGAAGTGCAGCCTGCAGACTCCTTGTGGGGAAAGAGAGGGTGCACTTGAGGCATTGTTTCCGGACAGCTGGACCCAAGAAATAGGAACTGTCTCAGGAACTCTCTGCTCTTAGCCTTCCCCATTCACTGTCAAAAAGCTCCCCATCTAGGTTTCTGAGTTCCTCCTTCTTAAAGGGCCCCAGTTGTGACCTCTCCCCGAGAACTGGCTGTCCTGAATCCCAAGCTGCATCTAGAGCCTGCCTCCATTTCCTGCATCACCTCAGACTCCATACACCTACGTCATCTCATCTCCTAATGGTGGAATGAGTCTCCTTAAATTTGGGGGGACTTGTGATTCCTTTAAACATCTGAGAATAGCTTTGAACCTTCTCCTCGGGACATACCCTCTAATACCCCTACCAGCATTTGACACACACACATCCAGGCATTTCCTGGACCCACTCAAGTTTCCTTTTAACCCTCTCTCTGTTATACAAGAACTCACCTGTTTCCAAGCCCCGTTGTCTCTTCCATCAGAGGGAGACCTGGACCGTTGTACAGCGTAAAGGTTGTGCACTGCACAACCCGAGGAGGCACCTTTCCCAGAAGAGGCGTCATGGATGTTTGTGCGTTTTATGATAGTCTTCCCGAAGATGGGTGGGAAGTGTCTTGAGGAGGGAATGTCTTTTTCTAATTTGCACAAAGGTGCCATGTGGGTGTCCTTAGGTTAATGATACCCGCACTTACAATGCCAGACTTGAAGTAGCTCGGGATTTGATCTCTGCTCACACCCTCTCCTTGTTCTGACAATGAAAATGATAATTAAGACGATGATGATAATGAAAAGGTGGCTGACATTTATAAAGCTCTTCCTTGGTGCCAGACTTACTTCTGAGTGCCTACTTACATACATTATCTCAATAGTTCTTTGATGTAAGTACTATTATCCTCTTTTTTTTTTTTTTTTTTTAAGCTGAAGAAAGTGAAATATAAAACAGAGTCTCACAGCTTGCCAGGGACAGAGACAGGTCTCAAACTCATTCAGTCTGGCTCTTTTATTTTTTGCGGTACTCGGGCCTCTCACTGTTGTGACCTCTCCCGTCGCGGAGCACAGGCTCCAGACGCGGAGGCTCAGCGACCATGGCTCACGGGCCCAGCCGCTCCGCGGAATGTGGGATCTTCCCGGACCAGGGCACGAACCCGTGTCCACTGCATCGGCAGGCGGACTCGCAACGACTGCGCCACCAGGGTAAGCCCCAATTTGGTTATTTGATCCAGCTCTTTGGCGCTGCATTCAGAGGGTTAGATGCCTGGAGTAAATGGGGAAGGAAGGAGATGGCTGTGGAAATCGCTCTTCTCTTGTCTCATTGTCTGTATTCTCAGTGAGTTCGACCCAAATGAAGGTTAAAAACAGCAGAAAACAATATCAGCCATGTTTCCTTTCAAAGTCCCTGAGGGAAGAACCCTGGAATGTGAACCCTGTTGCCACCACTGGCAAGCTCTATCTGGCATCACTCATGGGATTGTGATAGGGGGTGTCAGTTAGTTACTGTGTTGGACCTCACAGTGTCCTGCTCCAATCAGGACCACCAGGGTGGAGGCATTTCCCTCCAAAAACTGGAGCAACTTCTCTCATATTAAAGATGGAAAACTAGAAGCAACGGAGTGGCCTTGGTCAGCACCAAGATGCTGACCCCAGCATCTTCCTGGGGTCCTTGAGAGTCTGGTTCTCATCCCCAGCCGTGCACATTCAAAAAAAATTAATATAAGCAGGTCACTCAGGAATTAGTCGATTCTGGGAAAATAATTCGTCTGACCATATTCAAAAGAGTACTAATATATACACGCAGAAAACTTGTGTTTACTTTGTGCTGCCACGTGTATTTGGCAGCATAACTGTGAACAAGGCTTTCTGGCTTGGAGGGCAGCTGCCTCAGACCAAATACAGCTCAAAAGTTTGTTTGGTAGATATTGAACTTGGGCAAAGAGATCTCAACTATTTTTTTAAACTTTTCTTTTTTTGCAGTTCCCAAAGTTAAGTGGATAAAAGTATATAGGATTTGTGCTTACTACAGAAAAGTTGAAAATGAATTAAACTGAAACTATTATTCCATTAGCCAGTAATAAAGCCTATTAAAATTTTGCATATTTCCTCTCACTATTATTGTTATATTAAAATATATAAAATTAGTAGATACATATATTTTAATAAATGCATAATTCATTGTGTTGTGTAGTGCATGGTTTTCCTGATGTATTTGTCCATCTTATGTATATACTTAATCGACTTAATCATTATGTTATTTTGGGGACATTTATACTGCTTCTAATTTTTTAATGTTTTGTTTCATGAAATATATTCATTAAACCATGGTAACTGAATTAATTGTTTTTCTTCACACTAGACACATTACCATCTAAGCTGTAACACATTGGTCATTTTACCTCCAAACCATGGTGGAAGCACACTGATAAATTCTTTCTCCTTAAACATCATCCTATACTCAAAGCAGACTGCCAAAAAGCTTCCTGGCTGACACTGAGCTTCTTACCTTATTAAGGATATGTTACAATTAATTAGGCAACATTTGTCTTATATTGGTTTTGTTTCACACAGGCCAAAATTTCAAGAAACATTCTACTCTTCACAGTAATACACATTTATTAACAGTCAGCAACTGTGGCCTGCTAATTTTTTTTTAATAACCGTAGTTATAAATCTCCATTTTCTTTCAGTGTTTCTTAGCTTAATTTTTCTAGCCTTGTTCATCAATTCTTAAGGTCAACTACATTTAAAAAGTCAGATTTAAAAATCTGTACGTTTAAAAAATCTGTATCTTATTTTGCCCCTGGCAAAAACCACTTACAAGGGTGGTAGTAAGGAGAAGCGCGCCATCTGGTGGCCAAAAATGTCACAGTGGTCTTTCGACTATGGGGTGGAGGGAGGGGGTTCCTCAGGGGAAAAGAATAAACAAGGGGTGGGGCGCTGGGGATCACTTTTGGAGAAAAGCCCCTGAAAATTTGAGAGAGCAAAGCTGAAACTATTCACCAGCTATTTGAATCTCTGGAATCACAGGGCACTGTTGAGCTACCTGAACTGGGAACAGAACAGAAGGAAAACGAACAAACCTGCTGATCTTGGAGGCAACCTGCCAGCAGTTGGTTAAGGCTGCTGGGCGGTCCAGGCAAAACTTCGGCTTAAGTTATAATAATATAGTCTCAGAGTACCGTGTACTTGATACATTCTTCAGGTACACACACACACTTAAAAACAAAAGACCTTCTCTAAAATGCTGCAAGGTTCTTATAAGCTACACACTCTAATAATAACTAGAATTTTAAAATGCATGACTTTAACCATGGAAGATTTTCACGTGCATGGAGTGATATTTTTAATTTTGATTTCTTTCTGTGGACTTTGGGTCATCATATTTTCTTCTCCCTTTTTGAATCAGTGATTAACATGTAGAATATTAATACAATATTAAATCATTTCATGTGACAATTTGATTAAAAAGCCTGGGTTGCCTTGACATCCTGTGTGCATTAATTACTTGGCCTGGCATGCATGCTGGTATCTCACATATGCTGACTCTGAGTAATTCTCTAAGGTGTTTACTCATGTGTGAGAGATACATATGATGTGTTTTAAGCAGATGCTTCTGTAGCTTCTATTTCTTGGCTGAATGAATTTTCATTCTCAGAAAAGTCTTCTTAGGCTTAAATATTTTCTAAAACTAATTTTTTTCCAGCTAATAATTATCAAGTACTTACTAGATGCCAGGCCCTGTTCTAAATATTAATTTAATTCTTCGGAAGAATCCTGTGAGGTAGAAACTCTTATTATTCTGCTACCCTTATTTTGCTGTATGGAAACCAAGGCACAAAGAGGCTGGTTAACTTGCTGAAGGTTACACAGCAGGAAAATGATTGTATTGATTTTTTTTCCCAGCTAGCCTGGCTCATCTTCATAGCCACTACACAATCCCTGTCTCTGAATCAAGAAAACGTGTGGTTGGCATTGTTCCATCTTTTTAGGATACTCCTTTGAGTATCCATTCTGCTGCCTAGTGGCAGCACCTCTGATTATTTCCTGAGTGAGGAGAGAACCTGTTTTAACATTTCAGAATATACTCTATAATTTTTTCATAAATATTTGAAACATTTGGGAATTCTTTTTTCTGTTCACACACAAAATTCTAACTATCAAATTCACATTTTTATTAATTCTATTTATCATTCAGGGAGGTATTATGGGATGGGTAGCATTGAGGCACCTGTGAATCATTTTTCACCAGATTTGCATAGAAAGTATTGTAAATAAAGTAATTAAGTAAAAAAAATAAATAAATTCTGGCTTTTGACCCAAAGATTCTAAAATAGAATTTTGGAGCCTTAAGTGCATTTGTGTGTGGAGGGGGAGGTGAGGATAATACCAATATTTGTATAAACTTCAGTGAAGGTCTTGTCAGTTAACCTTGCCCTATGAGTTGATGAAATATCCTGGATCTTATTCTGTAAACAGAGTGACCACAATGGCATTTTCATAAGATAGCCAGCAAGCAACTTGGATACTGCCAAAGGAGTTTCACTATGTGTGCAAGAAAGCACCTGTTTTAAACATGGATGTAGTAGTTAATGATCTTTGCTTTGTGTACTTTTTTGTTCAGTTTTCACCATTAAAAAAAATGCAAAATCCTTTCTTTGGGCTTTGTGTGTGTGATTAAGGAAGTATTCAATGGAATTTTGAAAATCAAATTTAACTACAAACATGTTTATAAAACTTTTGAAGCAGATGTTTAAGAACGGATACTGTTAGAAATTCTCTTTCCAAATAACATTTTCTTTAGTAGGTCAAAATGTGTTACGAATATTTAGGGGAGAAAACCCACACAAGGACAGCAGGCCTAGAAAGTGCAAGTGCCAAAAACTTTTAGTAAAAGAGTTTGAACTAAAGAGAAAAAGCAGGGAGTTCCCTGGTGGTCTAGTGGTCAGGATTCGGCACTTCCACTGCTGTGGCCTGGGGTTCAATCCCTGGATGGGGAACTGAGATCCCGCAAGCTGCATGGCACAGCCAAAATTAAAAAATAAAATAAGGAGAAAAAGCAGGAACGTTTTCCTAGAAGGATAAGGAGAGGAAATGAGAAAAATATGGAGAGACACAGTATATGTATGTTATGGAACCAAAAACATGCCACTGGGAATGACAGTTTAATTCAGGAAAAATGAATAAGAAAATAGATCATACCAAAGTAAAGATTAGGTGGCTGAAAAAAAGAAATGCGTTAAAGGCTTAGATGGGAAGGAGATAAATCAGCCAGGGGTCAGAAGAGCTGTCTGCCCCAGACCAGGATTGGTGTCCCCAAATGCCCAGAGCTAACTACTGTCAGGTTATAAATCCCTGTCAGGCTAGGTGGGGCAAGATTGTACTTATGTATTTCTGCAACTATAATATTGCTCAAAAGTATTTCTACCCTGGGATTTCTTTTTCCCAACTGTACCCTGAAAAGTGTTGGTATATTCTGGTAGTTTTCAACCCTGGCTAAGTATCAGAATTGTCTTTTGAATACATATATATTCCATGGGATGATATATGTACATATATTCTCTCTCTCTCTCTCTCTCTCTCTCTATATATATATATATATATATATATATATATATATATATATATATTCCTCAACGTTGATATTCTGATTGAGTTAGTTTGTGGAGAGTGGTTCTGGGCATTTTATATTTTTAGAAGACTTTTGTTTAACATCACAGTTTTATTTGTGTGAATATTTCATGTGTCCATTTAGCCACAACTTGCTTGCAGGGTTTTTATTTGAAGAGCCTCACTCACATGAATGGGGCTCTGTGAAGCCAGGTTCACTCTGAGAATGAGAGTTCCAGGGTGACCCACCCATTCCCAAGCTACAGGACCAAGGAATACCTGAACTCTTCCTAGAGTGGAAGAATCCATTTTTAATATAAATCTATAATTGTATACCTCTTAAATATTTCTGTTTTGACATTCATGATTTTTGAGTCAATGTCATTGAGAAAAAATTAGAAAAGAAGAAATTAGGAGAAGGGAATAAGAAAAAAAGAACCATGTCGTGCACATTATTTTAAATTTATTTTCATGAATTAAAAAGTATGTTGAGATTTCATGTTTACCTGTGAACGCTGACCTTGCACTTTTCCTCTGTAATGAATGCCATTTCTTCCTAGCTAAGTCTCTACTTGTTTGTGGTGGGAAAGGGTAGTGAAAGTCAGGAGCCTAAAAACACTCACTTTGGGGCAGAAGAATATAACCATCTAATTATTTCAGAAGTGATACAAACCATATGTCATACAGAGCTTTCCTGCCCTCTCCTGGGTCTTTTGTCTCCACCTTTGGGTCTCTTCTCCCTTTTTACCTAAGTCTGAGGTTATTATATGAGGTCTCTCTCAGACCATAATCTCATTCTAAATCTCCCCAACAGACATTTATTTATTAACCAGGATGGGGGGGGAGGGGTGTCTTTTTTTTTTTAATTTAACTAGAGTGACTCTCACTGTGGAAATTTTTTAAAGTTGTCAGGAAGCCAGAGAAACTTTTTGATTTGAGAAATCCTTCTCTTCAAACCATATTCAGATCCAGTTCTGTTCTATTCGGCTTTTTTTTTTTAAAAAGAATGAAAACAAAAATGGGATTAACCTGTTCAAAACACCCATAATCTCATCATAGGCCTCCCAGGGGAGGGCCTTGTAGGCTTTGTAATGACCTTAATCAAGTATTAGCCCTATCTTACTATTAATCCTGGACTCTACAAAACAAACGTATGTTCTTGTCTCTAAAACTAGAGAAGGTTGAGAAAGGATTAATGAAAGAAGGAAAGGAGCTTTTAGGAACTGCAAGCCAATCAGGCGCAGAAGGCCAGGAAGAGGGTCCAGAGGTAACTGATTACCCAAGCCTAGTTTTAAATTTCTTCTCTCACACGCATTTGCAGAAAAAGGAGTCACCCAGTACATGTTTGAATTCAGGAAGAGAAGAAAAGGAAGAAGTTTTAATTTGCAGTCGTTTGTCTACCTTTTTGTCTTTCCAAACAACAGATCTTTTAGGACGGGAGCCTCTTCATGGCCAGGCTTATACTTCGCCCCATCAAAATTCGTCCTTTAAAATTGAAACATTAAAAGGACTGAAAGGGAAAGCCTCTTGACCTATAACTCTATCTTCCTTTACACATTATTTTTACCTTCCCCAAGGAACCATTAGCTAACTTATTAGTTACCAAGTTACCAAAAGGAAATGTGGTGTGAAGCTCTTTGCTCTGTGTCCTTGAGCTGAATATACTCAACTTGCAAACGCGCACAGAAGAAAAATAGTGCAAGAGAAACTAAAGCTTTTCAGCTGATTGAAGGCCACCTCACATTACTGCCCGCCAGACGAAGAGCGAGGTATTCCGACCAATCAAAACATTGAAATGTTAATAAGCCCCTCCTTGCCCCACCCCTTGATGAGCTAATTTGGGAAATCCACCAGGGCTCTCGTTTTCAATCAGGTCCGCAAGAATGCTATTTAAAGAGCCGTGCTAAGTTCAAAAAGTTACCGTGATAGCAGCCATGTCTGGTCGCGGAAAGGGTGGTAAAGGCCTTGGCAAAGGTGGCGCTAAGCGTCACCGCAAGGTCTTACGGGACAATATCCAGGGCATCACCAAACCAGCTATCCGTCGCCTGGCCCGCCGTGGTGGTGTCAAGCGTATTTCTGGGCTAATTTATGAGGAGACTCGCGGGGTGTTGAAAGTGTTTTTGGAGAACGTGATTCGGGACGCTGTTACCTACACCGAGCACGCCAAGCGGAAGACTGTCACTGCCATGGACGTGGTTTACGCACTCAAACGCCAGGGCCGCACCCTTTACGGCTTCGGTGGTTGATGACGGCATCGGCCGAGACAGACTTCGACATCTTCTAAAACAAAGGCCCTTTTCAGGGCCGCCCACAAACTCGCTGAAGGGCTGTTGGACGCTGCGGAGATGTGTGAAAGCCAAATGTCAGCTAATTTAACATGTGAAGTACGGTCGGAAGCTGCATTAACACTGTAGTTATGTAAATAAATATTTAAGGTTTTGTGTTTCACTAAGGTGTTAAAAAGCTTGGGTCTTTATGAAGAAAGTAGGCTTTCAGAAACTGAAACGCGAAGTGATATAAGATTGGACCCCTGAGAGAAATGTGCCCATTTTATGCATCTGGAATTATTCTGAGAACTGTCCCTAAGTGGACGGCTGGAGGCATCCATGGCACAAAAGTTCACAGTATCACCCACACAACACAGCTATGCAAATGAAGGCTCTTTGGGGACAAGCTTTCATTGGCTGGTTCTCAGTGTGGCGAAGAAACCACTGTTAAATTGCGGAGGGTGGTGTTACAAGGCTGTTTTCCTATTGGCCAAAACAAGGGGTTTCATACCGGTACCCGGAACTTAAGGGAAAACCTTCATTGGTTAACTTTAATCCGATGCAATCCAGGCGCTAATGGGCCCGAGGAACAAAGGCGCAGAGTGGCCGAGCCGCTTCTACACAGGTTGGAGTAGTGCTGGGAGAGGTCGGCTGGCTTCTGGGCGGGATGAAGCCAGTTGTTCCTCCTTTCTCTTTGCGATGATAGTCTGGGGTCAGACCACTGCTGGACACAGAGAAGTAGGTCACTGCCTTGTCCAGCAAGTGAAGAATTTTCCTGCACTATCCCAACTCCAACCTCAGAGGGAAACAATGGCCACCTTATCCAAGCAAAGCAGGGCTGTGGCTGATTCTGTACAAATTGAAACCATTGTATTTAGTCGTTTTCCATATAGGATACAATTAATTTTTTTTCTGTGGCCCGATTATACAAATGAATTCAGACAGGATATAGAACATGTTTGTATGTGTGACTGCATTAATTACGTAGTTTTGCAATGGGCTTTGTTCGAAGTCGCCCCCAATATCAAGGCCCAAAATAAGATTAACAGTATAAATTTATTTACGAGGATCTTTAAGAACGCTAAATTACAAACTAAGTGAAAACAAACTAAACTGTTTAAAGCGGAAAAGATGCTTTAACTCCGACCCTAAGCGTTTCCTAGTACACGCAGGTTTGTCATTTAAAGGTCACACCCTAATATTTGAGCCTCCAACATCTCCACAGTTTTAGAGTTAACGTTTTTCAGCCTGTGTAGCACAATCTGAACAAGCCTATCATTCTCTTCATAAATAGAGAACAATTATATTGACTATATTATCAAACCAAATTTTAATGTAACAGTATGTGCTTAATATATAAAGTAATCTGGTAACTACTTGCAAACTAATGAAGGTGAAAGGCATTTCAATATTCTTGCAAATGTAAAACGGAAACATCTGTGATTTACGCAACTAATCACTCATAGTGGAAAGAAATCTGTTTAACGAGAGGTAAACTTCTCACTAATCCAAATTGAGACCTTGGTTTCTGTATATTAACTCCTGTAAAGTCCATGGAGACTGAGTTCATAAATCTTACATGGAAAGGCACATTAAATCATATACTAGAGTATCATTAGGTGAAAAAACATGGTCAGGTATGGTTGGGCACGGAGCTGATCTCCTCTCCTCTCTCGACTTAAAATCCAGCACTTTTCTAAGCATTTAGGAACTTACATACAAGGAATGTGCCTTATTTTTATTAGGATGGACAACCTAACTTTCTGGAACTGGGCAGTCAGCATACCATTAAGTATCCGAAGCTCTTCAGAGTCTGTACCGTTTGTCTGACATGACACTATCACAAGCATCACAATCTTGCTTATTGTCAAGTGATAAAGTTGACGAATAGTCTTTTCTACCAGGGTCTTCTGAAAACGCAATGTCACACCCTCAAAATCATTTGAGTGGCTCTTAAAAGAGCCGTTGGGTTCTATGAAAACTGGCTGTTGCAGAAATTTTACTTCTTGGTTGTTGCTTTCCTAGGATTAGTCTTCTGCTGGGTCAGTTTAGAATTCCCAGCCTTGGGCTTCCCTGCTCTGGTCTTCGCTGGACTTTGCCGTTGTTGTTTGCCCTTGGCGCCTTTAACTTTTCTGTCACTCGTACCTGCTTTCTCTGCCATTGTTATCCTCGGCGTCTTTGCTCTTTTTTTGGTCTTAGCTTTCTGCGGAGATTTGGACTCTCCGGCCAAGACCTGCTTCTTCGTCTTGGTAGAAGCAGGCTTCTTGACCTTTCCCTGGGTGGGCTCAGCAGCAACCTTCTTGCTGAGCTTGAAAGAGCCGGAAGCACCGGTACCCCTGGTCTGCACCAGAATTCCTTTGCTAACCAGTCTCTTGAGACCCAGCTTGATGCGGCTGTTGTTCTTCTCCACGTCATAGCCCACGGCTGCTAGCGCCTTTTTCAGCGCTACCACAGATATGCCAGCTCTCTCTTGAGAAATGGAAAGGGCCTCGATGATCAACTTGGACAATGAGGCGTTTGTGGTCTTGCGACTTTCACCTGTCAAACCAACCGGCTTCTTGCCCCTTTTTTGGGGGGGAGGTTTCTCCATGGACGGTAGAACCCGGTCCGCTAGAGCGACGGGCACCATCTCAGACATTGCATTAGAGTAGAGCAATTTGTACTACCTAGCAAATAGCATAAACTACTGCACCGGCCTCAGGGCCTTATATAGGGCAGGGCGCGCTGTGATTGGTGCGTCGCTCAGGCACCGCCCCCGCCCCTTGGGGAAGGAGCATTTGTGCTTGTTTCACTCCCAAAAGTTGAATGCCTTGAATACCCTCTGCACGGAATCGCCCAGGTTCCACTGCCGAATAAACCGTAGAGATACAGATTTCAGATGCCTTTTTGCCTTTTAATGAAAAATGACCCTGCGTGCCAAAACTGTTCAATAAAGCCCTCGATTTCCAACAAAATTCAAAGGGAAGCACAAAACTTCCTCTTTTCCGTGTAAATATAAAAGTAATTTTTAACGAATGACTTATCTCATGTCTTCTAAGTGGTCTTCCAAATGGTTGGCTTTCAGTTGGTGGAGAAAATAAATTATTCACGCCCTGATTTTTATTGAAAATTATTTATGTATATGAGGGAAGTAACACAGATATCTTAGATGTCTCACTGCAGAGTTGGAAGATGCTTTCAGAATTGTCAAAAAACTTCAGGATAACACCTTATTTGGGCAAACAATCTAATAAACAATGATCTACAGGCATGTGGATTGCTTGTGACTAAAACCACTTCTCAGTCCCTAAGGCTTGATAGCAGACCCTCAAGCATGGAGTAAATTACCTGGATTTCACACATGATATCTGCTTGGCCAAAACCAGGTCCCCATTGTGGAGGGCATCTTGAACTGAGTTTTGCTTCTGGTTTCATTAGTTCAAACGTTACCCCTATACCCACACCCACCCCCTTCACACTCCACCCTCAGAAAGAATATGTAAGGAAACAGATACAATCCCTGCACTTAATTAACTATAAAATATGAGGCAGGAACCCTGGTCTGAAGAGCTCAGTGGAAACGACAGACCCAGATCTCTAACAGGACTGGTCTGGCAGGTGTCCTGCAGAGCTGTCGGAAAGGAGTTATTGGAATAATGTCTAGGATGTTTCTCTGGGCTTGTTGTAGGACTCACCTTTCTCAGAGGTGCATAAGAGTTTCAAGGCCTGGCCTTCCAGGAGGATGTTGAGGGAACGGTGTAATATGACCACAGTCCAGGGTTCAGCAAAGGAAAATCCCATAAGGACCATCTTGCAAAGATCCGCAAATGCCTGCATGAGAAATTTGGTAACATTCTACAGACTGGGCAACCACTGGAGGCTTTTAAGAAGAGAGTTTGTGTATTTTTTATAGTAGTTGTCTTCTTGTATGGTTGTTGTAGTTGCCTTGATTTTCGATTTTTCACATAAACAATTATTATTGTGGAGAGCCTAATGTCAGAGGTTAGTAGTCTGTTGTAATAGTCTCAGAAGAAAGACAAGAGCTTCATTTGAAGAGATAGTGTGGGAAAAGAGAGAGTCTACATTTGAAATACTTCTGAAGAGGAAATGAGATGATGAGACTTTCAAACTTCTGATTGCAAAGTGAGGTAGAAAAGTCTTTTTCACTCTGTCTCACATACATGCTCACATGTGCACTTATACACACATTTGAAACGTAAATTCTGAAAACAATACTACCTTAAGTGCATTCTGATATATTTTCATCTAGTTTATTTTATTTTTTAAAATTGCTGGTTGCAAATCATGAGATTGATTTCACAGCCTACTAATACATTGTGACCCTCAGTTTGAAAATTCTTTTCTCCTTAGAGAGATTACGGGTGCATCTTACCAAGGGCTCTGTTTTAACGTGTATTTGGTTTCTCTGAACCTCGGTGATCCCTGAGCGGTTGTACCATTAAACGTCAGTGGCTTAGGGTCGGGTATGACTGGATTGATCCTTATATTTACAGGTTGACAGAACATATCACTCATGGCTGTAAAAGTAACAGAGAATTGGATAGTTTTCTAAAATTCTTAGATTCCATAATTTAAGATCCAGAGAAAAAAACATGATTCATATTTTGCATTATAATTCTAAAAGATACCATAAAAACAAACTCACACACATATACACCATATATATGTGCCAGTCATTGTCCCAAGTATTTTCCCCTCAAAAAATAAAAAATAAAAAAATGTAGGAAATCATTTTATAGATGAGGAAACTGAGTCACAGAAAAGTCACACAACTTGCCCAAAGTCTTAGAGCTAGTGAGCAGGAAGGCTGGGATTTGATTTCAAGAAGTCTGGCTTCAAAAGTCTCTCCTTCTCCCATCTCACTCTTAGTCTGCTCAGGGAACTCAAAGAAAATACTCTAGAGTGCATGGCTTAAACAATAGAAATTTATTTCCTCAAAGCTCTGGAGGCTAGAAATCCAAGGTCAGCGTGCCAGCATGGTCAGGTTCTGGTGAGACCTCTTTTCCTACCCTATAGACGGCTGCCTTCTTGCTGTGTCCTTACATGGCCTTTCATGAGTGCATGCACACCAGGAGAGTGATAGCTCTCTCTTTCACTTCTTATAAGGCCACGAATCCTATTGGATTAGGGCCCCACCTCTATGACCTCTGTAGCCTAAATTACCTCCTAAAAGCCCTGTCTCCAAATATAGTCACATTGGGGGTTAGGGCTTCAGCATATGAATTTTGGAGGAGGGGTGGGCATAAATCAATCCATAGCAGATACTTTTCTCATGGAATAATTAGGAGGCTTATTAGAGACAACCTAGATAAAAGTAGTTTTAGTTACACATAGCCAAACATGGTTCATTATTCCAACACAGTCCTGGGCAAAGGAGGCACCTGATAAATATTCCCATTTTTGGTCTTAACCTAAGATCCTACTTACTCTTTACAGAGTGCTTTCCCATGGAACTATTGCAATTCTGTTCATTGTTTTGCAACAGTTTATTTCTTATGGGATCATGGCTAATAAAAATATGGGGAAAAAGCTACCTTCACTCATAATGAGGGAAATTACATTTCAATATTTTTTTTTGTCATTCTGATTAAGTGTTTTAAAAATATTCTCAGTAAATATGACTGCTGTAAAATAGGAATTATTGTATTATGTTGGTATTATAAGTTGGCATGGTCCTTCTGAATGGCAATTTGATGAATGTATATGTTAAGAGCCTTAAAAAATGGTTTTACCATGTGATTTAGTATTTCTACTTCTAGAAGTCTGTCCCAAGGAAATAATCAAATATTTAAACAAAGATTTATGTAAAAAGAAGTGTGATCTGTGTGATTTATAATGCATAAAAATGGAACTCCTTCTAAATAGCCAGTAACAGAGGACTAATTAATAAGTAATAATACATCTATAAAAAATGTGCGTTTCTAGGCATGTTACCTAGAAAATTAGCTGTATGTGTATATGTAGCATGATACCTAAATTTGCTTTATATATGATATATATTTATTAGAGATGGATCTCATATATATGTTCATATTCATATATACATATAGAAAAGATACTAAGATTTATTTTAATTTTCTTTGTTATATATTTCTCTTCTTACAAATTTCTGCAATTATCATTGAATATTTTTATACTCAAAATAAATGTTTTAGCCAAGTTCTTATTGATCCTTCCGTGATTGTTAAAAATACCTCTTTTTATCTTCTTCTAGTATCATTTTCATTGACTTATTTGTGAGATGCAACAGTGTCCAGCAGTGACCAGTGGTGGGAAAATACATTTCTAAAGCCCATTTGCTCCTCCTGTAAAAAGAGAGATTGATTAATTAATTCACTTCTATAATTCATCAAATATCTGATATTGTACTTGACTCTGAGAACAGTAATAATGGCGATGGCTAATGTTCTTTGGTGTTTGTTCTGTGCCAGGCAGTGCTCTAAGCACTTTAGATACCAATGCATTTAATCTTGCAACAACTTTCTGAGGTATATATGATGGTCCTCCCTGCTTTGTACATGAGGAAATTAAGGCTCAGAGAGACGGAGTTTCCCAGGTGGCACAGCTGTTGGATGGTGAACCATCCTCTACAGTAAAATCACACCCTGTAGCATTTGAGTCTACGTGCACTTGTAGATAAAAGATGAGCACGATCTAGTCAGTGTCCTATAACTTACATTTGAGCTACGTCTTGAAGGGCGGGTAGGAATTTGTCAGGCGAGGACAGGGTATTAGGGCTTTTCACAAAGGAGACATAGTGACAAAGGCCAGGTGGTGGGGATTGTCTAGGGTGAGGTGCTTGGGGGTGAGCCTTGTGGAACCGCTTGTGAAGGATGAGGAAGGCCCTTGCGGGACGACAGGTTGAAGAGTTCAAGCTTGTTATTCCCACCTGAAGCAGTTTTAACAGTTCCCAGAAGCCTCCCTTCTCTCACATGCTCATCTCTCTGGGCTGCTGGATGAAATCATTCCCCACTTTCAAATAATCCAAATCAAACATCTAATGGAAATGTACCTAAATAAATGCTCTTTCCTGGGTTGTTTTAAAATGCATTTTTCCAACTCTTCTTCACAGGTAGACGGAGGCAAACCTAATTTTATGCTCTCTTGGTGTCCAAATTCAGTGCAAGGAAATATATGCAGGGTTTGCTTACTAAGGAGTCCTCTTTACTACCTGTGGGCTGACACATTAGTGGGGCGGGGACATATGGGTTTCTGTGAAAATTGGTCGCACATTTGGGTAATATGAATACTCGTAATTATAAGCCACGCTTGACACAGCTTACACTCAGGCCGTCACTCCACTTTACAGAGAGAGGCTCTTGCTACATGGTTTGTGTGTGCTTGTAAAAATGTAGTCACAGTTACATAGTTATTTAAGTTTTGAGAAAGCTCTGCCTGGAGGCAGATCCTGGTGGTAGTGGCAGGTGGGCAAGGGGGAAGCAGTCCTCTCTTTAGCAGGTGAGGGCCACAGTCTCCCACACAAACCATTGACCATCTCTGCTGGCTCATGGTGTTATCTCTGATGTTCCAGTAGTTTAACAAACTCACTGTTGCTTCAGATGTAGCAGCCTTAACACTTGCAAGTGGCACGTGTTATCTTAAACACTGTTGAAAATGTACCAAATTGAAGGACTGTGCTGGAGGGAAGCACAGCTCTTCTCACCAGCTCACGCCCAGAATGAGGGCAGTGAGGGTGGTACTAGAAATAGAGGGACAGGTACTTAAGGTAGAACCAATAGGGCTTTGATTTCTTTTCTTCATTACTGGGTCTTCCTCCAAGAGTTTTGTATGTGCTTTCCAACTAACATTTTATTGTCTGAGAATAAATTGAGTTAATAGTGTAAAGCACTCAGAACAGTACCTGGCCCATTCTAAGTGCTACACTAGTGTTAGCTACTCTTGTTATATTAAGCATTTTAATTAGTGCTAATGTGAAAATTATATCTACCACCCTCTTGATCCCCCCTTTTCCTGTTTTCCATTTTCCCTTTCCATAGCATTTATTCCTTTCTCATATTCTATATAATTACTCATAGTAATGATTGTTTGTTGTCTCTCTTCCCCAGCTGAGATGTAAGCTCCAAGAGGATAGTGACTTTGTCCTTTTCCAAGGAGACAGTCACTGAAGATGGCTGGAGGAACAAGAACCAGAAGGTGGTCCTTAGAACCAGAGGAGAAAGGGAAGAAATCCCCTCCTTAGACCATCCCAAAACTCTGTCTTCATTCCCTCTTTGGTGAAAATATCAAAGACGAGGTCCAGCATATATGGGAGGATGAAAACCAGGAAAAGCAGAGTGTGTGCAAATCTGGCTGCAGTACAGAACATGAGAGAAAGAGGCCGCAGACAGTGGGCAGGGGAAGAGTCCGTCAAACCGTGTTTCAGGTCTTTGGAGTATCCTAAAGAAAGATACAGCTCTTTCAGACCCATTCCAGACCATCCATGATGCCCCAGCTCACATGCTAGAAGGATAAAGACCCCATAGCCCCTTCCCCTCATTTCCAGCTTATTAAAATTTCCGATCATTTTAGGACAGTAAAAAATTCTGTATGGTATTATAACAATGAATATAAGTCATTATACATTTGACCAAACTCATACAATGTACAACATCAAGAATGAACCCTAAGGTCAACTATGGACTTTGGGTGATTATGCTGTGTCAATATAGGTTCATCCTTGGTTTAAAAAAAAAAAAAAAAAAAAAAGTACCATTCTGGTGAGTGATGCTGATAATTAGGGAGGCTGTGTATGTGTCGGGGCAGTGGGTATATGTGAAATCTCTGTACCTTCCTCTATATTTTGTTGTAAACCTAAAACTTCTCTTTAAAAAATAGTCTTAAAATTGTAAACCTAAAACTGCTCTAAAAAAAAAAAAAAAACATAAAAAAAGTATATAGGAAAAACAATTCCAATCCACTCAGCATTATTTATGTCTAGAATCGATGGAGCCAGGCTCAGTCTCTGATGCTTAGAGTCAGGGAGGCCAAGCGCTTTCCAAAAACTCCAAAAAGCGCTTACCCTGATGCTTGCTTGGTATCCTTGACCCACCTTTGAGGCTAGCAGCCTTTCTTCCATTCAAGATCTCAGAACTTGCATCATCTCTGTAGAATTCTTAAACACACAATCGTATTTGTTTATTTATTTCGATTTTTAAAAATATATGTATTTCAGTGCATTAAAGCCCAAATGCATGTGTTTAAAAATCTAGTGACCAGGGCTTCCCTGGTGGTGCAGGGGTTGAGAGTCTGCCTGCTGATGCAGGGGACATGGGTTCGTGGCCCGGTCTGGGAAGATCCCACATGCCGCGGAGTGGCTGGGCCCGTGAGCCATGGCCGCTGAGCCTGCGCGTTCAGAGCCTGTGCTCCGCAATGGGAGAGGCCACAACAGTGATAGTGACCAGCATCTAACACCTCAATTGTTTAAGCAAATTTAACAATAAAAGAGGCACATTTTTTAAAAGATTTCTTTCTTCTTTTTTTTTTTTTTTTGATGTGGACCATTTTTTAAAGTATTGAATTTGTTACAATATTGCTTCTGTCTCATGTTTTGGCTTTTTGGCCACGAGGCATGTGGGACCTTAGCTCCCTGACCAGGGATCGAACCAACACCCCCTGCATTGGAAGGCGAAGTCTTAACCACTGGACCACCAGGGGAGTCCCAATACAGGCACATTTTAATCTTTGATATTTTTATATCCTGTCCTACAGCTGAGTTTGGGCCAATTATAGTAAGGAAAAAAAGTGAAAAGAAAATAAAGGAAAAAAAGAAAAGAAAAGAAGGGAGGAGGGGAGGAGAGGAGAGAGAAAAGAAATGAGAACAAAGTTTCTTCCTTATTGCTTTTGAAGCCAATTCTTTTACTGTTGGAGAACTCGATCTTGTCAGAAGACAAGTTTAGAGCTATAAGTGATGAAGTCAAGGTTTTACCCCAGTATTGCCTCCTCTAAGTATATCAGCCTCCTCATAGAATGAGACAAGTCCCCTCATTTCTGTTCCTTCATCCCTTGGAGCCTGCAGCTGGGGAAATCTAATACCATGAATACCCATAGCAAGATGAAACCAGCTCTTTCCATTAATTACTATACTAATTG